TAAACACGAACATAAGCAGATTTCATATATTAAGATAAATAGAAATAAAATAAAATAGACGTGAAAAGATTTAAAAGTTTTATTTTGTTTTTCAAGCAATTAAATGGATGACGGACCTTGTTTGTATGAATCGTTATTAAATACATTGATGTTCAACAGGTGACGCAATCCACCTTCGGAAAGAAAATCACCAAGGAGACTTCTGAACCGTATTGTAGTTTCACTGCAACGGAGGTTCACTGGCAGTTTGTTCCACATGGTTGAGTAGCGAATAAGGAAAAAATTCTGACGTAAGTTTGTGTGGGTTCTTGGAATCGCTAGGATATTTTCCTTATTGCGTAGATTGTGGGATGATATCACAGAGTATGAAGAGGTGGATACCGAGGAGTAGGAAGTACCGTTAATAAGCCGGTAGATAAAGGCAAGGTTTAATTTGATACGTCTGATCCAAAGAGGTTCTAATTTAAGTTGTTGACATCTTTGGTGATAGTCCTTGTTGTCGGAATACCCCGAAACAGCTTTGGTGAACCTTCTTTGAACACCTTCATTTTTAATCAGGTCATTAAACCTGCAATTACTCTAAGCTAAAATACCATATTCAAGAAAGGGTAAGACACATTTTCTGTATAAAAATAATCTCGATTCGATATTATTGAAGTTTTTCATTATGAATCCGATGAGTTATCTAACTTTGGATAGTTGAGATGCAATGTGCTCGAACAGTGTTGAGAGGTTTCAGTGTATTTTTGTTTGTAGCTAGATTTAAGTTAAGTCAGTGGCCAATGTGAATAAATCCATTTTCGTCAACATTAAGTGGCAAATTCCACGAAACAGTCCATTCGTACAACTTATTTATTTCTTCTTGGATTAACGCTTAAATAAAACTTTCTTTGGTGGGAGAAGAGAATGAATAAACCACTTTTGGGTCATCGACAAAAAGGAACGTTTTACCATACTGAAAGGGGGAACACACGTCATTGATGGAAAGGAAAAAGAGTAATGGACCAATCACACTTCCTTGTATAACCCCACTGGTTACATTCAATGGTTTAGAGTAGCAAGATCCAAAGCGAACGATTTGGTTACGTTCTTCGAAAAAGATTTGGGCCAATATAAAAGAGGATTCTATATGCCAAATGAAGAGAGTTTTAGAAGAAGGAATTTTTGTGACACTGTAGAAAGCCTTATTAAAATCGAAGTACGGAATTATCATTGACTGACCAACGTTTCACATCTGGGTAATTTGATCAAAAACTCCAGATGCGGTGTGAAGCATGAGCGCTTAGTCATAAACTCGTGTTAAGATAAGCTATTCAGACTAACCGAAAGTAAAAATGATAATAGTTGTTTGTGGATGATTTTTTCCTGATAGCACGGATTTCAAACAGGCCTGTGGTTAACAGTATCACTACGTGACCCCGTTTCAAATATAGGGGTGATAAGAGGTATTTTCCATACAGATGGATATGTCCCATATTCCATAGATAGGTTGAAAAGTTTTAAACAAAATAATGGAAACTCCGTACTACCATATTTTACAAATGATGAAGGAATCCTGTCAGGTCCACCGTCATAAGACGTTTTCAGGACAGCTATGACCTGCTTGATGTTGGAGGTTATCAAATCAATTTTCATATCCTTAAACTTTCTTGCGGAACTGAAAACCACTAAAAAGCTTAGCGGTTGACGTGTCTTTCAATAATCTACAAGACTGTAGGCACAACGGCTTCAGGGTCGATATTTTGCTCGAATTCATAAATCCTGTTGAACTGGTCGAAGTGTTCAAACTAACTGGAAATTCAGCCATCTAGATGTGACAGTATCAGAAAAAACACCCTTGTTGTAGTTGGTAAGCCTACGATCAATTTTTTAGGACAGAAAACTATGCATTTGACTTCCATCGACCGTCAAAACTCTAGTAGTCACTAAGAATTATTCTTTACCATGATTTTACGTACTGCCAATCAGTCTACCTCAAATGAGATTCGTAAAATTTCTAGTTTGCCTCATAACGTGCACACTCACTCTCAGCTGGCTAAAATTGAAACAGGATTATCAGGTAATGTGTAAACGATTAGCCAACAGTATGTTGTGAAAGCCTAGGAACCAATGGACATAGTTTTACGTAGAGAATGGTATAGTAACGTCCAGCATACAATATATGATCATATTTCCCTCAAAACAATACAAATCTTAGTCCTTGAATTTTATCTGGACACAATCTGACGAGTACAGCGGCTATAAATTCATGGTTACTCGCCAGCATTATTGTGCAAGAAAGAGTGGAGTGCTACAGTCAGAAGTATTACTGGTTTGACTCGACACATTTATCCTTGCATACGCTGTGGCAGCCTATCAACATTTTTCGTTGATTGTTATTGTGAGAAACCTTTTGAATACATAGGCCACCTACCTAACCTACCATCGGAATACTACAACAAGCTATCTCTGTTTGTTTAAGCTTGGCAAACCTTATAGATTAGTGACGAGCCTACATAAAAGAGTTATAGCTTACAGTTTTACGTACTGTATCGAACCGCCATTGTGACTATTATTATTGGATCCATATACTATGACATTTCGACAACACATTCAGTTTTACAGTGGTTGCTTCGAAAAACAAACACTATCTAGTCAGATAACTTCAGTTTCAACTAAATAAAGCCATTACAAAGTTTTCAAGGCCCTTGCAATCTCTATTCAACCGCATGAATCACACGACTGGCTTCACGATAGGTTTGGATATATTATTCAGGTGCGCTGTCTTAACTAATCTGCAAACCAGCATCCAAATGGAGATACGGAATAATGATAAAAAAAGATAGGCGGAGAGAGGATATATCACTTGTCGGCATGTAATCATAGTGTGTCGTGTGATATAATTTTCTATTCGCTCAGTGGTTAGATAGGGTATTAACAAAATAAACTTTAGTACATTGTGCAGTATACCCTTTAAAGTAACATTTTTTACTACTTAATCATGTGATGTTTTCGGCAGTGCTACTTTAGTTTAGGTAGTAATAAACTGAAAAAGTTCGACATATTGGTCTGTATGTATGATTCGCCTCTTTAAAGATATTGAAAACGTTCTGAAGTTACATACTGTTTATTCTGTTCTATTTTGCATAGGTATTAAACTAAACTAACTATCGATCTTTAGTCAAATACTTGGTTTAGCCATAATCCAAACTAATAAATTAGTGATAAGACTAGACACGTGGTGCTAAGAATATCACTTCACCAAGTTGTTAGGTGCGTTATTGTATCCCTACGTTCCCTAGAAAGATGCATTCTAACAGGTTTTCACATGTTGTAAGAAGATTTTATGCCATTATTCTGTCTACGCTACATATTTTTTCAGCTATCTGAATATGTAGTTCTGTATCCGAAAAAAACGATAATTTACATGCAGTTAGTGCAAAGAGCTAAGAAAATTGTTTGCAATAGGTAATGGGTTTTATTATATTACCGTCCTTTGAGCATTTGTGTCTCTCTTCAGGTTCATCGAGATGCCATTCACGAAGGCTAGAAGCCGGATTGTTGAAACACACAGGAAAACAAGTACATACAACGAAAGGCATTAAAAGCATTTCACAATAATAACGTCATACCTCAGTATGCCTGCAGCCAACTTGTATTGACAACGAATATTGTCTTCAGTTTAGTCGTCTTGGTATACGATGAGGTTTATGGATCTACGATGAAAGATATAAACTGAAGTGTAACTTCTTGAGTTTGCATAATGTGCATTAGCAAGCGAAAAGGATGTGTCGCGAGGTTAGGTGAAACACTGCTGAGTAAGAACCGACTTATTTGAAGATCGATACTTTTTTAATTGTTTATCATGTGTGTTTGATCGGCCAAAGGACTAGGAAGTAGATTTACCGTTCTGCTCTTGAAAGACAGTTACACCCGAATAACCAACATAAAGGAGAGCAACAATATATATGTTCAATCTTCATTCCGCATACGTGTTCTATAACCTTTGGACTCATAATATCCTAACTGCCGAGCTTAATGCCGCACCTATCAGACAAAAATGCCACGGTCGAAGCTGCCCTCAGAGTATTGGTTTGATAGGTTTCGTACTACACCATCTCAAAATGAACTGTGTTAGGTGCCTCTTAAACTGTAACGACACTACGCTAAATGCTAACGTGGTAATTTAATTTCCTTTCCGAAATCTTATTATCTGTAACTCTGATTTTCTTATGTCTTTTATCGTTTGTTTAAACCGACACACTTTCTGATGTGACTGGACAGAAACATTGTTGTTTGTAAAATATGGTTGTTTGGATGAACAAATGTTTTTAAGGATACCTTTACGACTCCGAATTTACTGCTGTAGAGGGATCACAGATGGATGTTGCTGTCTACCTAACTGTACAGAATGCAGACTGGCGCCCCACAGAGATGATATATTCTAAGGTGAACAGTAATTCATGTCATGTTTTTCCAAGTGCAAGGGAACTATACGAATCCGTACTGATTCATTCAATGATTCTGAAAGTACAGTAGTGTGTGACATGTAACAAATGATGTAACTCTTCATATTGACATGACACTGTCCTCTGTGTTAGTGCTTTGAACTATCCATGTGAAGTAGTCAAGCCCCAAATTCATGACGACCACGAAAATCTATAAAGTGACGTGCATTCATGCCCTCTGTTGGATTCACGGCCCGAATCAACGAAACTATGGAGAAAGATACAAACGAATATATAGTATGTAACGCATAAACAGATTTTATCAATGAAGATAGCACACTACCGTCAGTTGTTGAACTACCTGTTACCAATTAAGAATGAAGTTTGACTGATACATCGTAATATGTTACTTTCTCGCAAAAAGTTTATACTGATAAGTCTTTTAACTGAACGTTTGAATCGGTTTCCTATGCTCTTCTAATGACTCCGAGCTAAATCTTCACGATATCGTGATCACGAGAGAAGGCTAAAGCTATTTACTCTTGGATATTGTTTCTTTACAACTAGGTTTTTCAGAGATTTAATCGGCAATCTGTTGAGTGTATATAAAGAAATTTGATGAGTGGATCTTTGTTCTAGTCACTTTACAATCGCTCGAGACTATTTGTCAGTGACCTTGATAACGCCCTCGAGTTCGCCAAACACGTACAAATTTTGCGCTACTTGATGTCATGCTCTGAAGTTTCTTGTTGACGTCAGATTTATCTTCAAACAGTCCAGGTAATGACACATATTTTACTTATTCAGACTAGATCAGTATTTATAATCTTACGTTCCATATTGGTAAATTTCTTCAAGGTGGTTGGATTGGACTAATGAAATAATTATTTCATCACAACAAAATTAACTTTGTTTCTAACTCCACATCAACGTTCATATTTCGGTTGCTTAATGGTAAGGAGTGTAACTCTAGAATTTACCTTTAAGATAGGATGTGAAAGTTGGTAAACCGAGAGAAAAGCCTTCATACTACGGTGGGGATAAAGTTGACGCTGACGATGAAGGTATGGCTAAAATTCTTGTCTTGTGTGTTCTATGCGTAGTTACATTCTTAGTGTTAGATGTGTACAACTGGATGCCTAACCTTTTTGGGGTTTGCACTGTTTTCTAAAAACTCGATTTTTTAAAATGATTCTCGACTCATGTGACAGACATTTAACTGCTGTTCAGTTTCTGATTACGCTTCACTTCATAGCATTCACTATCAGTCAAAATCTAATTCGCCCCAGAGAATAATAAGCCAGGCGTTTTTTATTTCTAGGGACCCACCTTTTGTCATCATTTTGCGCTATCAAGGCAGACTTTCAGCTTTTAGGAATACTTTTATCATTACTATAATTATATTCGGAAAACCGTCAAGTGATAACAAACTACGGAAAATAAAGATGTCTACGTAGTTATTAGCCGCAACATTTGATGAGTTCCACTTATGAGCAAGCAAAAAGCTCAAAGTGAACATGAACTTAATAAATTCATGGCATTCACATCAATAAGGTGTACAAACATCAGATGCTTCTTTGGAGTTCAGAAGCTAAAACCCGAAGAAGTTGAATACTGTCTATATCTCTTTGGAAACACATTAGCAGACTTTATCTTTCCACTATTTTTTTCTAGCAATACCGTATCATTATTCCATGAGTAGATAAGAGTATCACTGTTGAACCTATATGGAATTACATTAAACTCAAGTTCCCATACTTAGTAACATCGCAAGACGTGATATCAAACAATAAAAAGGGTGAAAGTGCACGTCAAATGGTGCAGTATAAATGACGGCGAATATATCGTCACACGTCCTGATCTTTATTCATCTACTTGGGTTTGAACAGCTATGTAACCTGGATCCCTACCACTCCAAACACTAAAATTCTGACCCCAACATTTCATTCCTTTAGGAAATCGTCATTCAATCTTTCTAAAATACGAAGTGTAGTTGACATCATGATCTCCAGCAACAACCTGTACTCAATATCATATGAAATTGGTGCTGATATATGACATAGGATATTTCAACTTTGACTAGACAGTGAAGGCAGTCGGTTTAGTATATTTTTAACCAGACAGTATCGTTACCCCGCAGTCATTGTGTCATTAAAAGTCGAATAAGTAGACCTGTAGTTGGCAAATGAGTTTTATCACTACTATTTTATTGCACTATTATTGTGATCAATCCTGAGCTACATCACCAGTTGCTCTTAAATACTCATTTCTATCATCATGATGAAGTGTGAAGCCTCCACTTGCCCATTTTATTCAAAGACTTTACAGTTCAGCCCAGTGTCTTTCTCTGACTATCCTAGTTTATTTAAACTTAATCTTCAAATGTAAAAATTATGTTTCCCAGTTGTATCAGTCAGCCCGGTCTTTCCCAATGACTCCGAAACTTCATACTTTACCTTGGTTAAGGCACACAACAAATTTGAAGGATCCTTTTAACCCCTGCTTTGATATTGATCATAAAAATTGAAGACAAGGGTAATACGTTATTTTCTTCAATTCAAGACTTGGAAATCGAAAGTCTTAAAATCTTCACCACGGAATTCGGATACAAGTGAACTATCCAGATTTCTCCACGTGACTAATAGCTTATCTTGTCGACCTTGATCTTCGTTGATTATCGTCGACCTTCATTCTGTCATTATTTGCATATTTATTTTAATGATCTTCCCTTTTGTCCTGGTTCTTCATCCTATATTTATCCATGATGCTTCTAATTGTCTGATTATTTTCACCATAGTAAGTAAAGAAATAAAATTATTAGAAATAATCATAATACTGAACATATCAAATAACAAATTGCCTACGTTAAAAGTGTCAACAGTTTGGTCTAAACTGTTCCAAAAAGAAACTCAGGATATTTAAAAGGTAAAAAACTAATCAGTATATATGGTTATCGGTTAACAGCAGTTTTTATGAGATCCAAGTTGTATTCTAGTGGCTATATTTTATATTATGTTATCGTCTCAATGATCGATAGATCCAGGTATACGCAATATCTGATGCGATAAACCGTCCAAGTAAAGCATGGGAAACCATCATCCTCTTCGATTATGTATGATTATTATATCATATTCTAAGTATTGTTTTTCTTTATTGGGTTTAACTCACAGTTGGTCATTTTGTGTTATGGATGCTTTCTCACATACTTTCACTTCTACATTTTAAACAGAATCTCAAAAGCTTTGTATAAATGATTGTCGACAAAAGCAGGCAGCATTGTACCCTCCCTTTTTGTTTAAATCATCGTCGGCACAGTTACTTCTCTCACCTCCAGATGCAAGTGAACTTCTTGTTATAACTGGTCAAAGTAGAATTCATCTGTATATACAGCGAAATTTGGACGAACTTTCGCTCGAAACATGTGAAAATTGCAATAACTCTAATCAATCAGACATCTCAAATCCTGTTGAAGTCGATTTGGCTGTTTGCAAACTAAATAATCTTAGTATTCCATCGTTTCCTCAAAATTTGTCTTCTGAAGTTTCAATATTCCGGTCTCATGGACTTCCTTTACTTGTTTGGCCTAAATCAGCTGATAAAATACTCATTCAAAAGGTATATAGTATACTGTTTTTACTATTCGGTTATGACTTATTGTTTGTACTTTAGTAAGGAAAAAACTAAAATAACATGTATGAATATTCTTGTGTTTTCAGAGCTTTGGTAGTCATTCAAAAACGTTGCATATTTGGACTAGGCGTATCTGTGAAATCCAGAACCCACGTTTTTTCTCATTTGTAACTTGTCATGTAAATGTTTCTCAGTGTGGGTGTTCACATATCAACAACAGGATGAAACAAACACGAATAAACGTTACTCGTTAAGCGAGTTGGTGGGTAGCTGTACTAAGTAGCCTAATAAATAATTGGTTGGTGTTAGTCTGAAATCTCAATGTGAGCATCAGGTTTGTAATGCATACAAATCTACCTAAAAGTTCTAAATTTGTCGAAACCCGCTTCCTGGATTCTGTTTTTAGTTTTAGTCTAAGTAAACTGGAACTTATAACAAAAAGGTAATATTGAGGTACCTGTTCAAGATCCATTTATGGAAATCCAGTATTAAATATTAACAGTAGGATAACAAACCCTTACCAATATGCTTTATCACTTAGCTTCTTGAGTCAGATAAGAATACCTTTTATGTTGGTAAACCTAGTTGTCAGATTGTCCAACCTCATGGTAGTTGGCTGATTATCCACTTTCCTGTCACAGAAAGTTTTGATTCTAAACCAGTTTGAGGAAGCAACAGTAAATTCAGCTAAGCATTTGTTGATGAAAATGTCAAAACCTATTAATAAAGACACTGTTAGAATTAAATTGCTTATATCCCTGTTACCGTGCTATATAAAACAGGTCATCATATCGTTCTGATATGTTTGGTACTTGACCCTATTTGTTGAGAGTAGACCAATCAGTATTTTCGAATTATTCTTGCATCGAAAAAAACAAGGCAACTTGTTAATCTTTTTCCCTAATATAAAGTTGAATGAACCGATAAATTTTGTTGATTGTGAATTTGTTTTAAATGTACATCATCATTTTTAGTATTTAAATTATAACTATCCGGATTGTGGTCGTTGGTTTAGTGAACTTGATAAAGTAACCGGCTGGTTAGAACAGAAATGGAGGCCATTAACACGAAACTTGGGCATAGTTAGTAATGGTGAAATCAATAATAATGATGATAATTGGATCAAATTGGATAAGAATATATGTATTCGTGGTCTTCCCTCGGATTGCGTTGCTGTTACTTATTTGAAAAAACGTTCAACACAATATGAAAAGTATGTGATAATCTACTCTTATCGATTAATGTAGTTTATCTACCTAGTTATCGTTCTATGTACTCGACTGTTAGTTACATATTTTTGTAAGAGCCGATGATACTTGCCACATTCATCGGGCGATAAACAATAATTAGCTTGGGTAGATAAATAATATATCAGCCAATAAAAAAAACAGTCCTTTTATGACTAACCAGTAAATTGCGATAAGAAGCCAGTTATTTATTAGCAGTGCAGTCATAATAAAAGAATCTCAAAACACTACCCAACTACCTGAACTAAAGTAGGTGTTGTGGATTTCAAACCTAGTACTTTTGCAGATTTATAGCTAAGTAGATTGTCTACCAAAATACTACGCCACATATGGTTGTATAATATTTCTTGATATCGTTACTACTAATAAACAAGTTTATAACTAGTGTGTACAGAACAGTTATTAGTAAATACGAATTTGTGAAGGTTATTACTATTTAGCCTTTAATCAAACCACTAAAATAATAGAAAAAAAACGTTTTCTGTTAATTTGTAACAGGTGTACAACGTTATCAAAAAATTTTTTAGATTGAATTAGTCGTTTCCTTTCGACTTAAGAGTTCTTTTTGTGTGTGAACTATGGTAATAACGTAATCTGATTACGAAGCAAAGTATTGATCATTCAAAGATTTTGAGCCACCCAATTTTGTGTAGGGACTAGTGTTACTACTATCCATTAGTTTTTGGGACCAAAGCAGTAGTGTTGCATTTTTATCTCTCAATTCAGTTATCAAAAGTGCAGTACTTTAAAGTACTAAGCTATTGATCTTCGGTTCTTTGTACCGATGTTTTTATATTAAGTATATATTGCATCCTTAAAGTTCTTAACTAACAAAGATCATGAGGTATATGGGTCAGTCAGAGTAAGTCACATTTGAAATTCGGTTCAGAGGATTGATCTAGTTTTTGCAAAACGTTTTCGGTTACTTATACTTAGTTCTCCCCCTTTTGGTTATGAAAATGATAGTGTCTCCAGACACTGATTTCAACAAGCCTATAGTTGAATATGTGAATAACGATCTTTTCTTTATCATCATATTCTTTTTTCGAAGCAACCTTTACTTTGCTCAATATGATATCTTGAGTTTGACAACAGCTGAATGAGTACACCCATCAGTTCTAATTACTGAAACTTCATATCCTATTCAATTTTTTTCAACTTTGTTCCTCATGAACATAACATTTCTCACTTGAAACCTTCATGTCTTAGGTTGTTTAATTGTCTATTCAACAAACAATGTAATAGTTGTTAACCAACTAACTCTTAGTAATAATAATTCACTCTTTTAGATATGCCAGTTTATTAAAAAGTTACTTTACTCATCGTCTACAATTCACACCAGCTTTTCATCATAATCCTATACATAGAGAACTTGAAGAACATTACAAAGTAAGCAGGTATTATATCACTGATGATTTTTACGACAGTGAAGTAATGATGAACGTTTTATCTAATAAATTGTGTAAAATTAATCGGCGTATCTTCTCATAAAAAGATATTATTAATCTTAGTATATTTAATTTGCGTGTAAGGCTGGAGTCCAGGTGAGTTTCGTTCTATTTGGGACCGACCTATCAGGTAGATGTAGCAGCATTCCAGTGCTGATCTTCACACAGATTCGGACCCAGTACCTATCCATCCAATGAATTATACACTAGTATAACAGGCCCAATTAACCACTAGTTTGTTCGACGGTTATCATGTTTATTTGTAACGGTTTTTATCGTATCTTTGTAACTGAAACTTATAACAAAATAGCTATATCGAAGCCACTCACCTAGGGTGTATATATACTAATGAAGACTGATTAAAATTCTGTCCTATATATCAACAATGGGATAATTTAAGCTCATAAGTATGTATTAATAATAATAATTTAAACAGTGTCATCAGAATTGTGCAGTGGTATTGTCTTGTACTGTAGAGCTTTGTGACACTAGTTCAAATCCCATTGAGGGCATCATATACTTCAAGATTGCGAATACAGTGTATTGACAAATCCCAACTACCATGAAACTTCGATTAGTCAGTTCTTCTTTTACCATCGATAACCTTTAACCATCTAACAGTCATTCATATTTTGACCTATTTTTGTGATATTAAATGTTTTATCAAAACCTTTCATTCCTCAGATTCTTTGTGTTTGGTATCGTTTAATAATCGTCCGTTACTTATTTACTAACTCCTTTAGATCTGTACTCATGTGAACGTAGAAATCACTCGATCACTGTCATTTTAGCCCTAATCAATACCAAAAGCACCTAGTCATGAACGTCCCTAGTTAATCACTTCTATTAAGAGTAGGTTTAAAGTTAAAAACAATAAACTTATTAAAATAAGGATCAGTTTAGGGGTTGTGGAGATTGTTAAGTTTTTTATTGAAATCATGAACCGATTGATGTTAGACCACCATTGAAAACCTGGAAGCACTGGATGACCGTTTCGTCCTATTGTGGGACTCATAAGCAGTGCGCATCCACGATCCTGCTCGCGGGATTCGAACCCGGGGTCCAGGGATCGTGGATGCGCACTTCCGAGGAGTCCCACAATAGGACGAAACGGCCGTCCAGTGCTTCCAGGTTTTCAATGGTGGTCTAACATCAATCGGTTCATGATCTCAATAAAATAAGTATGTTTATATAGGTTGTGTTCAATGTGTAGTTTACATCATGCAGTTGACTGAAGTAAAACAGCAATCATTGAAAACCGGAGAGCCGTTGAACATTCGTTTTTTTTCTATTTTAGAACTTATCAGCAGTAGGCATCCATAGCACAGTCGGTCGAGGAATGTTCTTTCATTAAGAGGATATTTAAAAAATAAGACTATTAAAGTATTGCTTTTATAATTAACTCCCCTATGTATTTTATTACACCAGTCCACACTTCAGTAAATTGACCATTCATAATATTTTTCAGTTCATTCTTACTTCAATATGTTCCTGAAGTTCTGACATGAAGTTGTGGCTGGTGGAGTTCATTTCCGTGAGCAATGTTAAGAATGATCACCAATAGTATTTAATTATTGTCGTCCTACATTGCGAACTGATTGAAGCCGAAAACGCACCATTGGATGACGGCTCATTAGTTCCTAATGGTTAAATATTTGACGCAAGACTTGAAGGTTTTATCTTTGATCTTTAACAAGATCCTACATACTCATATCTAAGGAGTCTTATAATAAAATGAAATTATTGTTTGGTCTCCACTATTTTTCAATGATAATCCCAACTTAAACCGATATATCACTATTACAACCTTATTAATTCTTGTTATTTTATTTAAAATTAGGAAAGACTCGGTTGTTTAAGTGAAGATGCTGGTTATTTTAATGTTATTGGAAATCGTCTCATTCAAGTGATTAATAAAGCTTTATCATCTGGTAGACCGTATTCTCTTAACCCAATCACTTTCACTTCTTCTATCAGTGATTTAAGTATGAGAGAACAATGGTGAGTGAGTGGTACGAGTTTTTCTTGAATGGATATTTTTCAACTATATGTATAATGGTGCATATGTGTTTGATCGCATAGCGATCATAGCTAAAATTACAAACTACTGAATTCTCTGACTCAATGGTTAAATGGTATATTTCTTTTCATATCATAACCAAACCCTATGGTGCTTGGTGCGATCCTGTCTCTTCGATCGCAGATATACTTGACCATAGAGTTTAAAATTAGGACGTGTCATCTATCCAATCCTACCTAATTTTCAGCCAATTTTAGATAAAGCAATTCATCAGTGATTGAAGCGTCTAGCCCTCAGCCATTAAATCGCTGGTCTAAACTCCATTTTGTTTTATCCTTTTTTCATTGAACCATTAAAATATGTCTGGAACCCCAGGAGCACGAATATGTGCCTGGGAAAGGAGTTGATAACTGATCACTAGATTAAATTTGTTTACAAAATAGTACAAATCTAAACGGGAACTAATTAAATAATTCCAGTGGACTGTACTGGTGATAAATTTGCGTTTATATTTTTTGATTTACAGTTTACATGCTTTACTACCTGGCAATGAGGTGAAGAATATTAGAAACCAGAAGAGGAAATCCGTAAGTTCCTTTTCTGTATATATATCGAATTTTTGTGGAGATTAACTTTTATATAGTCACAATTGATTGATCACTTGGTGGTGATCAATGTCATGTGTGTCAAGTCCTTAGTGCAGATCGAGTGCTATCGATCGAGTTGCAATGTGACCACCAGTCTAGGTGACTCGACATTGCGTGCACTATGTTGAGATTAGATGGTGTTTGGAGGTAGTCCACAGGAAACCCTGGACCCGGGTTTCGTGCTACTTGGCACTCTTCAGCAAGGATAGCTTAGTGGTAACGTCTCTGACTGTGAAGCTGGATGACACGGGATCGAATTCGTCAGGGAGCACCACTTCCCTCAAGATTATAGGTACACCTTGCTGACGAGTGCAAAGTGGCACGAAACCCGGGTTTCCTGTTGACTACCTCCGACCATCATCTAACTCTTATTTAATATTTATCGTACGTTTATGTCATTTAAAATACCGTGTACGTTTATTGAGTGCTAACCGGGTGGTCTAATGATTAAGCATTGGTTAAGAGACTTAGATGCTGTAGATTTTTTTCCTGGAGTGATCATGGCCATTCATTACCGTGGAGTTTTATAGTAAACCGAATTAACTGTTAAGTGCTCTCTAGATTTCCGTGGTAACATAAGTGAGGTCCATCCAGTACGTAATTTTCTTCAAAGACATTGTGCAAACGTATCTTATTCTAAATTAATTTTGGAACAAGTTACTTCGTCATACCCGAATTTTTTGTAAACTCTCTGTTGTTTTTTGGGATCCATGTTAAAACACTCAAAATACAAATAAGCGCGCATAACTTATTAGATGCTTTCGCAATGTTAGATCCACAGTATGATTCGATATTTTTAGTTCTCTTCAACTCTGTTAGCTTTAAAATATTTTTTCGATGGGGGAATATCGTTATTCCATACCAAAGTGATTTTAATTGATCTTTTCGTCATAGTTGATATACACATACAAGTGACTGACACAGAATATATATTTAATATGGATTTAGCTGGTTGGTGACCAATATATATATATTTAGTTCTACTGTGAGTAATAATTACTTTTTTTAAAAAATAACTGACATTCAAAATGATAATGAATTCAGCAATAACAGTCAACTTGCAGCACAAATAAGTCTAGAATAACCATGTGAATATTGTCAAACAAATAACTTACGTATCTTAGAGAGAAATCATGCAATAAAAACTAGATACTTACGAATAATACAGTTATAATACGTGAATCTTACATGGTACGCTTCATCAGAGGGAGGCTTTTAAGCCTTGGAATCTCTTCGCTTTTATATATTAAATTAATGTCAAATGGCTCAAAATTTTCAAATTCAGTCAATATTGGTGTCAACATTTTCCTGTTTTGTTTCCATTATTGTTTGTAGACTAACGAACTGTGTGGAATCGATGGTCTTTCCGATACTGATAGGTAATAATAATTGAAATTCGTTATGTTTTTATCTTTCCATCTCTTCTTGTGGCCAATCATGTGTTGTTTCTATTTTTCCAAAAGTTGCTTCTTATCGGTTACAACTATAGACTAGTAATTGAAATTTAGTCTTTTCTGTGAAGACAATAAGGCGAAAGCATGGTATAGCGACGAGCTTTAAACAGTCACGATCAACTTCCAGCTACATTCTGACTAATCAGGAATTAGCCTTTATAAGTAGATAGCTTGTGGTAAAGAAAACAATAATATTGCGAAAAATAAACAGATTCTATAGAAAATTGATTTTATTAATGTCTTGTACACGTTACACTACTTATAAATAAAAAGCAACGACATATAAACTCGTTCTAATGGATATAGGTTGTCTATATTGTCAAATTCTCAGGAGAATCCAAACGGCCTATTAATAGTTCGTACACTGATTATTATACATGGCATTTGAATTTTGTGCGGAAAGCTAAAGATTGGGTTCCAAATTGTGAAGACTCGTCTCTGAAGTGTACTTTCATCGACAATAAAGGGTGAAGTTTAATAATATAATACTGAATTTGTCATCTGTACTATCACTTTATTGGTTATTTCAGTTATCCACTTGTTTTTCTGCTATAAATCAGGAAGTATTCACCATATTGTAATGTGCGAAAATTAGTACTTGTCTACACAATTTTGAAACTCTCAACACCCTTAGTAGTACAGTAAGCAAAAAATGTTATAGATGCAAAGCAAAGTAGGAGTGGAAATGACATGATATGCATCATAGTAGTAAAATAAATGTAAAATTTATTTTAGGGTAAAGAGTACGAAATGTTTGTGACTTAAATTGTCTACCAAGAATAGATTTTTATACTCGGCTCCCAGTCACACCTTGTATGTTAAAGTTAGTGATACTATTCCACTGCTCAAACTCAAGTAGGTGAATCAATAATGTTCGAACCCGCGACCAAGCGGCTAAATGTCGAACATCTTAGCCACTAAGCCACCGATCCACTGTTTGAAATAAAAGTGGATGGAACTGTGCTACCGCAACTAGTTTTTTGTCTTATCACTCAATAGCCCCAACCGCAAATTACAATCATTGCGCTGCTCTTTTTCAGGAAATTCTCACTTTGTGAGGTCCCTGTCAAAGCAGTCAGTTACTTTATGGAATGGTGCTATATATTGGTTTAGCTTCCTTTAACCCCCAGAAATCAGTCATTATTAGGATTATTCGACCTGAAGAATGTAGAGCAATTGTCGTGTTGATTTAAATAACTTTCTATACTACTTTTGACAATTTATTTTGTTTGAACAATCGTACAAATCTTGATAAAATACCATAATCATGGTATTTCTTAATTGTGAGTTTCTTTACGTTTCAGTCAGTTTATTGATAGTCAATCTAATGACGACGGTGACGGAAGCATTTCAGAATTTGACGATGATAGTGATCAGTTTTTAGCGCCTAATGAGAAGGACACAGTTGATCCGAATTCAGCTGATCAGTGCTCTCGTGATCTACCAAATCGACCAATAAGCAAAGAGGTTAGCCGTAATCATTTTTAATTTAAGTTTTTTTCATTATTTGATGTCTTAATGGAATCTTTTTGTATAAAATCCTGACAATAAATAAGTATAAGCATGACTCATCAACCGTTTACTTGGTCATACTTTCCCAGTGTGAACCTGTAATACTACTCATTTCCCTAAATTGAAGTTGGTATACTAGGGCATTCGAAATATTTGGCGATTATATCCAGTGGTTTACACGATAACTTTTCACCTCAAAATAATTCGAGAGAATGATGTAATCAAATCAATTTCTCTAGCGATTAGATTTGTAAATTTCATTGTATTATCTTCATTCCAGAAAATTGATATTCCCCATGCTATTAATTACTTGCCATTCTGATGTGTGGACGAGAACGATAATTATTGACTGTTTGTTTAGTCAGAATTTTAATAGTCCAACAGGTATTAGATGAGTTATATATTTTCCTATCGTTATTATTATTATGGAGAGTTCGGTCTCTTCATGGTAAAATGAGTAGTAGCAATAGTAATAAATGTGATATCAGTGTTGCTGATGTTGATAGCTCATGATATTTTTCCTGTTTCGTCTATTTATTTCTAATCCATCATATCTTGTTCACTCCAATCGAACAGTTCTTGATCTGTCACACTTTATTTCATAATATTCTGCTACATTTTGTGTCTTTTTCCAACCAGTTCTATCTTTTTCTACTTTTTCCGCCAGTTTGATGTGAGGTCTTTTCTTTCCTTCTTTCTCCAGATAATGAAAAATAAAGGCATTGTAAAATATCGACATAAACGTGAACGTAATCCTAGAGTGCATTTACGGCATAAATTCCGTAAGGCAACAATTCGTTACAGATCACGTGTTGCGCCGGTTCGTAAAGAAGACAAACCATATGCTGGTGAAGTTAAAGGAATACGTGTAAATTTGATTAAATCGCATAAATTCAAAAAATATTAATTCACTTTTCAACACATTCAGTACTTCTTTGTAGTTGATTTCCTTTCCTTTCTGTGATCATTCTGACATGTTTTTTATGTGATTAGCGGTGTTATATATTAAATATATTAGATTAGGTTTTATTTGCGAAAGTTGACAGTGATTACGAATTACATACGGTGGAAAGATAGTTCTTGTTCCAAATAGAATCTACTGGAACTAATATACTTTACGACAATTCAACATTTTCAATCGACACGGATAACGGATAGTTTCGAAGTATAATATGAGGCTTTCCGTCTGTGGGACCTAGGTTGCGTAGTTCTGGGTACCTGTGTGGTACAGTTTGACGACTAAAAGCTCTAGTACTCATAAGGTTGCTGGTCACCCTTATTTTACCTCGGGAATATGGGTAGAGGTGATGCCTAGTCGCTATCAGACAGACTGATAATCTTCAACCATAGTGTGTAGTCGGATTTGACTAGCGATTTTAAGTTTATTAAAGAGCTAGTCTGTTTGATTTCGCACGTACAGGGTCGCCTTCAATAATAATTTTACGGGTTGTTGTTGGGAGGTTGAAGATTTGCTTTGTCCTAATTAATTCTAAAGTTTCGCTGGTTCATCCAAAGATTTTACAGTTATCAACATCTGGATTTTGGAGAATATAGAGAAACGAAGGATTCCCTTGCACACTGCACAGCCGGAAGTCTCTTGTGTTTCAAACAGTGTATCTTGGTGTCAAGTAGAAATCCATATCCAAAAAGTCTTCCAAGCATATCTAGATCCAACTTAGACTCTAAATTCATTAACAATGTCTTTCGCTTAAATTTCACGACTCTCGTCTTAATTTTCAGCTTGAAGTATGACGGGTGAGGTTTTTCATCTCAGTTCGGTATTTTTCTAGGGATTGAGACTAAGCTCGTTCCAGAATTCATATTTTTAACTTGATATAAGCAACTGTCTATGCTTTTCTCCCCAACTCTCACGACTTGTAGTGGGGTTGCTAGTTTCTCATTTTCTTGTAAACGTGGTTTATTCAGTGCCAGACTTTAAATGATACCAACAGAATTATCAAGACTATTCGGGTCAACGTGTTCAGATACATAATCTTGAATTTCGCCGTTATGGTGGCGTGCTCTGCTTTATTGAACATATTTTAATTCCGGCAGCAATCTGTGGAATGGGATCTGCCTTTATTGGGTCTTTTGATAATTCTTGAATTCATATGCGGTCTGGTGTACGAAGTGTGACAGGGGGGCCTTCCTCCATAATCCATTTTGCAACATATCTTAAGTAAGTTAAACATGTATCAGGGCTTTTGATCCTCCTTGGTTAAGAACTGTTTCACGCACAGTGTTGTTACTGACCAAAACTCTTATACAGGATCTGTGATTGTAAGCTATTACATATTGTCTACCTTTGAATAATCTTTTAGTCTTTGACCATCTAATAAAGAGACGGTTCATAATTTCACATCTTAAGGTATCGTACGGTTGTGGGTCCAAATTATGAGTTTATGGAGGTCATAAAAGATCGTATCGGTGAACAACATCCTTGCAATAAATTGATGGAACGAACGAGAAGGTATGGAGGAGGTACTACGAAAAAAGCGAAAAACCCAACTAAGTATGCAAGAGCGGGATTTTCAAACACCAGTTATGTCGACGCGATCAAACACAATTACCACAATACGAAAAATATTCTGACCAGCTAAGAATAAATATTCAGTTCAGAAAGGGTTAGCTCAATCTATATGGATGAGAGATCAGGCGTGAACTAAGTTATACAAGTAGAAAAGGTTCACAACCGAATACCGTTTATCAGTGGCAAATGCTTTTAATAAGCGAGGGAAATGCAGTTCAATTATTAATAAGAACAGAGCAATCAGCTCACATAGTACCGACAAGTACAAAGTTGGAATAGTGAGTAAAAATCTAGACGACGTCATTAAGTTTGTCAATCTTAAGATGTGGACCCTAGAACAACTTGACAATCACAAACGTTGTACACGTAAGTACAAGGGGCGTTCGTAAAAACATTAAGTACAAAGACACGGTTTAAACGTTAGGTCCTTTCGAAATGTGCCCGCCCTTTCGTTTTAACGACCTTGAACGGCTTGACTAGAGGAGGTCATTCCGTATTTCAATTGCCGTGGGTTGGTTGGATTGCATGAGTATCAAGTTTTTTCATATATAAGTCATCTTATGCTACCTAAAAAAGCACGAAATAAATACCAAAACCATTAATTTAGCGTTCTCTGTTTTGTAGTGTACACTTTGGCTCTGTTGTTGCTTTGTAATTTGATCTTTGATCCCAACAACTGTAGTAAAGCTCAACGAAATATCCAGTCACAAGTAAATCCTAAGTATTTGTAGTATTTCCTTGGGTTATTATTGTTGCAAGGAATAACTTTTTAATAATTAGTCATGTCTGTTTTTAGTGCTTCATGCTCAAGTGACATTTCAGTCGACCTAACCGATGCCTTTCGAAGTATGATACTGAACAAGCGTTTCATGTTGTGGGATGATTTTGAAAGTGCCTTAAAAGAGTTCCAAAAAGTATGGAATTATAATTTTATCGCTTATCAGACTACTTATACTCGTTACATCCACACAGAAAGCAGATTGCTGAAGGATGTCACGTTCAAATACCTGTTTGTAACGTTTAATTGTACGTTTGGTCATAAACGGAAATCGGAAGGTTTAAAGTGAGGCAAAAATCGTAAGATCTTCAACTAATATCTTATGTTTAAGGTCTAAATTCCGTGTAAGACTAGAGGAGCAAGGATATGTCATCAAATCCTACATGTCTGCACAGGGTTCATACCTGGGGGATTTTCGCGCATGCATGCAGGAAAACTCCTACTAAAACAAGACTTCATTTATGCATATTGAAACTCAGAGTCATTGCGATCAGGTTCCTCGAGTCTGAACATCGTTATTGCAATCGCGCCTACTTCGGCAGTCAGAATGCTTTGCTTAGACTCGCGATTTTCATCCCTCATTGGGTATGACATTTTATGGTGCATGACAAATGTTTCCCTATAATATTAACGAAGAAAAAAGCTCAATCTAACAATATGAAGTCAAAGTGCATCATGTTTCCCAGTACATCGTTTTGGTAACTGACCGGAAGACTAGTGTGATATTTATACGAACTAATGATTCTTTCGTACTTGATTGCAAATTCTAAATATAGTACGTCCATTTAAACCAAACTAGTTTTACCTTTCTTAGATTGTACTATTTCGGAGATTCCTAGTTAGCACAATAACCCAAATACTTCCAGTTACCATACTGGCGTCGCGTTGGAGTAAAATATTGGACGGTTGGATAATGATTCAAGTGGGAATGGCTTTGAAGACTACATGGAGCGGTTCGAAATCTGGTGTGACTAGAAAAGATACTAAAGATGATCAGTTTACAGATTATTTCCAGAGGTTCATCAACAAAGAAGCATGTTACCTGTTAATGAATCTGGCCTTTCCAGAGAGACTAATGTTATTGTCACATTAATCTCTCAAGCAACTGCTACTTAGTCACATTCAATGTGCTAGCTTTTAATGAATAGAGGGATCGAAGCTTCATAAAATGATATTACAAAATGATCCGAAAGTTAAAAACTTCATACTTGAGCCACAGAAACAGATCGTGAATTGCGATTTCGGAGACCGATCGGAACTCGAATTCGTGATCGGTTGATTTCTGGGATAAATATTCCGACTTTAGAAAAATAACTAATGCAGAAGCCCGAAAGTTCACTCCAAGAAGTTAGAAAAGAATGTATTAACTATGAGGCAGTAAATGAGCTCGGTTCCCAGTCAATGAACATTTCAAATACTTTACTTGGTCAATGTGATGTACTACACTTTAAGGGTCGCTCAAGCTCGCGTTAGTTTAATAATGATTCTCACACGTGAAAATATTAAAAATGACTCATTCAAGAATTGTAAAGCAGGTTACAGAAGTGAGCACACGTTTAGTAGGTGTTTATACTGCGCTTTTATAAAGTGCCGTAGAACCATCAATACTGGGTTTGATAAATTTAAAATAGCTTGATGTGAAAGTGTCCTTACCAGCTTTTTTGGGAAATTCTGATGCCTGACCTAAATATTTGCTAGCTGAATGCTCCAGGTGCAGCAGATGGATGAAAACTTAGCCTGTTGAAATCCAAGCACAGGGTGATCACGTCTTTCTTAAAAGACGAATAATTGTTTATGGTCTTCGATAAGCGGTGCATATGACACTGAACAATGTTTGCGCGAAACGTATGACTTGACCGATCCAAGCTTCAGCATAGAGTGCTCGTATTGTTACGCCCTTGAAGTCGGATGGCAAGATCCCTAAAATATGAGGCGATTACAGATCAACACTGGACCCCCGTTTGTTGAGGCGAACGTGAGCGACGGTGGAAGCCGAAGATATTCTTGACCGACTTCATGGTCCTGAGATGTTAATGAAATTTTACTTAAGAGATGGTCATCACCGAATTCCCTCAGGTCGATCTTTATCTATTTTAACAATAACTAACACTTATTTGGGCTGTTCAATTATAACTTCCTTCAATTTAGTCCAAGTTGTTCTTCACCTATATTTCAAGAAATGATGAATACTGTTCGTAATTTTTCATGTCGTGCTGATTATTTATTTGATATTTTGACATCTAATTCTTTTAAACAGTGTGGCTAACAAGAGTCATGCTTGCGAAGTCTAATAAAGTTTGTTCAAAGTGATGCTGTTCTTCGAACTTACCTAGTGTACAATCTGTACTACTTGCGATGCACCATCTGTGAGTATTGGTGCAGGTTTTGAGCAGGAAGGTATTTCGGTTATCTGTGTTTCACTCAGAGTTAATTTTGCTAAACAAGGTTTTTCACAAACTCAGCGAGAATCACTAGCCGTGTTTAAGTCTGTTAAAAGACTTCATAAAGCTTTTAGTCGGGGTCCCTGTGGTATTAGTAAATGATGATGGCTCTCAGTTTGCTGCGGATTCAATCACTATCTGTAGTGTACAGATATCTGTTCACTGTTCCCATGCTCTCTTGTTTTAAAGGTCAGGCAGAAAATTTCTCCAGTACGTTGAAAATTACTATTGATTCTATTGCTGCTTCAACATTTAATGGACTGAGAAGAGGAGTAAATAAATTTATACTGCGATATAGAAATGTTAAACCTTCTGTGACGAAAGAGATTACATTCAAGCTATTAAAAGGAAGAATTTTTCGCTTGTATATGAGGTGTTTGAATTCTGTAGAAGTGACATATTGTCTTAGGTATGATCTCCTACCAGCCACGGGGATTGTGATAAAGAACGCCGGGAAATCAATGGTGCGAATTCTAGATATTTATGACTGAGGTATACATAACCGACATGTTGATCAAATACAACTTCATGAACCTTATGAGTGTTCCAAATACGATTTTTAATTCTAATACTAATGAATACATTCAAAGGCACACTAGACATCAAACATACATTCGAAAGACACACCATAGGCCCAAGGTGAGGAAGTACAATCGATCACAATAAGTTGGATTCACATTCAATCTGTAGTGGCTATATCTGTACGAACTAATGATTTCTTCGTACTTGATGGCCCGCTGTTTACGAATACGAAATATAACACATCCATTTTTGCCTAACTAGTCCTACTTATTGTGAATTGCAGTATTTTGGGAATTCCTAGTTAGTACATAAATTCGAATAATTCTAATCAGTATATAAAAACACTTTTGTTAGAAACAAGTACTTACTGGATATTAAAATCATATTTAAAACCTACTGAGATAGCAAAGTCAGAAGGCTGTGAAATTTTAATCGTGTTTTATATACCACAACTCCAGAAGTGTAGAACTGGCTAGTCCTACTTAACAGGAAATTGAGCAAGATAACTCCTCCATAAAATAAGGAAGTAAAGGACTACAAATTGCAGTCATTATGTTTTTTTTCCAAGAGCAGACCGTTAGTTGACTTTTAACCGCTTACCTTCGTCTTCTGTAGTTCTGCAAGAAAAACCACTTAAAAACTATTTTGAGACTCAGCTTCTCAGTGTAAAGCAATGCTATTCCGAACTTTACAAGGGAAGTTCTTTGAGTTCACCGGTTCTCCAGAATCACGAATGGACGTGTTTCAGACATAAATCCCGTTTACGACATCAAGGGGTCTCAGCCAGAGCTTACACTAATCTCCACTTCTATAAACGGCAACTAGTTATGCTGACTCTTACTTTACTTCTAACACTCTACAAGACCTTTTTATCTTAGCACTCCAAAAACCAAGAACATTCTTGCATCCAATCCTTTTTTCAAAAGGAATAGGAATCTATCAAAATATGTAGAGATGATTTAATGAGGCATGTCGCAGGAATAATGGACGAATCGTTTAAAAACCGTTTTCTCCACCTAGGATTACCATTACTAGGTTCCAAAATAATATGAGGAGACCTGAAAACGATTTGACGCGTATGAGACTTTTCTGGTACTCCAGTAAAACATCTTGTTCGACCAAACCTTTGCATTTTAAGAGGTAACTCGCTATGAATTGTCTATCAAAAAATTTATGCCCAGGTAAGATCAAAAATTTTCGCAATACAGGTAAGCTCCGTTTTGAACACTTTTCCAGTTTACATGGTTCGTAAACCTCTTCCCTTCGCTTCTTTGCA